TGAGAGCATAGAGCTCGAGCAATTACAAAGTTCTCTCCAGATTTTCCATACAAGTGTGGAAGTGGTCGATTAAGGAAGCATTTCATTAGGAAGACGGTGCTCATGACGGCTTAAACTTTGACGAATGGCACAACACTCGCTGGAGCGAACAGTGGGATGTGGTATGGACTGCAGCGATAAATAATAGGTAAATTCACATTGTATGGCCTCTAAGTCATCAAAGGTGTATAGTTGCTTTGGCAGTCCATGGACGACACCGGCTGTGATGCCAATGTTATGAATATCATTCAAAATTGAGCACCTCATGTCGCATTAGTTGTATTTTAAAATAACATTTAACATTGCTTAACCAATTAACGCCCTCTGAAGGCGTGGCAAATCAATTAAAAAAGGCCAGCCGATATCACAGCACAGCTCTACCACCTGCATAACCATTAACCTGCCTGTCCATCCATCCAACGGCAACCCCGTAAATAAATACACATTTGTTTATATAGCTGAAAGAGAATATAATTGAAATTCATTCGAATCGTTCCCGACTATGATTGAATAAGTAAGTACAAACAGTGGAATGTTGGTTGACATTTAGCTTTATATTCATTTATTTATTTATTTGTAATTAATTCATTAGTTTTTATTTATTCTTAGACCCTTGATATCCTCAGAAGTGTGTGTGGTTTATTTTATAATTCAACTTAATACGCTTAAAATATATATATTTATTAATTATTACATATACATACATATATATAATCATTATTATTATAATTAGTATTATTATTATTATATTGTATGCATATTCGCTTGCTGTAATATAATGCCATATATAATTGTTCTTCTATATATATATATTTATATATATATATATATATGAATGTGTATATATACATATATATTTATGTATATATTGATATTCATATATTTACATATATATATATATATAATCATATGCTTAGTTATAAATTATCTGCTTTGACTTTTTTCCTTCGCGCGTTTTTAGTCGTTTTCTTAGCTCATTTCAGCGTTCTTTTCGGGATCTTACGGGACTTTTTCACTAGGTTTACAAAAAAAAAAAAATTTGTTGTTTATTTTTATATATTTACTTTACTTTAAGTAGAATTTGTCCTACAGTATTCTTTTTTTTTTTTTAATATTATTTTCTATTTTTCTTTTCTTTTCTTTTTTTTTTTGTGAAATACATAGTTGATATACTACAAACTTTAAGTTTTCATTTTTTTTTTTTTATTTTGTGAGTGTGGTATTTTGTTTCTTTTTTGTCTAGTAAATATAATTTGTTCCTTTTCTGTAATAATAATATGAACTGTTGGTTTTTTTTTTTTGCTTTACTTTATTTTGTATTTAGTTTATTTATCGTTTTTTTATTATATCTCATAAATTCTTGTTGTTGCTAAATTTTGTTTTCATTTTCTTCATCTTTTTTGTTGTTGTTGTAGTTGCAGTTCGCTTTAGTGCTGTTCGTGTGTGTGTGTGTGGAAGTGTTTGTGTGTGTGGCAGTGTGTGTTTCGTATCCTTTGTTTGTTTTTGTGTGCAAAACGTTTAAATGTTAATTTTTTTGTTTATCTCAATTGTTTCCCTGTTTCTTTATTTGCTAAGTATTTTTTATGTATTTTCTTTTTGTGTTTTTTGCTTGACTTTGCCTTTATTCTTTATTTGACGGCGCTCTAACATAAATATACTAAAATATCATTTTATGTACATATAAATATTTTTTTTTTTTTATTTAATTTTATTTTTTATTTTAACTTAAGCCGTTTTATGCTTTGCTCTAAGGTTTTTTATTTCTATTTTTTTAGTGTGCAATTCAGCTCTTAGTTCTTTTTTGGCTTCTTATTTGTGTGTGTGTTTTTTTTTCGCTTTAGTATTCTTAGTATTTTGTTGCTTTTGAAGCAATTTTTAATGTTTTATTTTTTATTTTATTTTTTTTTTTAGCTTTTTGCCATGTTTTGTTTTTGTTGTTTAATGCTTGCCAAATTCTAATAGGTAACTGACTCCTGCTCTTTATTTTGTTTGTCAAATTGTTTTTGGTTTGCCAATTAACAACAGAAACCCGAATCGAGAAAGAAAATATCTAAAACGTGATCAAAGTACAGTACACACAAAATACATACCAGTTAAATACCATAAATACCAAATGGTATTCATATCTTAGTTGATACATATACATATATGTAGCTCTAAATATATATGTATATAAATATATTTATACATTTACATTTATATAAATTTCCGTTCTTTAGGCGCGAGCGACGAGAAAAGCCACAGAAAAACAGTTGGAAAAGAAATGGATCAATGCATGGTGCTAGTATATACTCGTATGCGTTATATAACACTAGTTCTCTAGGTAATTAGTTTTGCTTTCTGTTTTCATCTTCATTTTGTTTTTAGTATTTACACTTACACACATGAAAAAAAACCAGATCTGTTTGCTGATTAGGGCTATCGCGACGTGACGGGTGGTACCTACAACTAGTTACAGTTATAGCTGAAGCTTTTGATATAACGCTATGTATGCTAAATATGTATGTATGTATGCGTGGCACACACACACGACCCCTAGCGCCCACATACACACATACACATAATCTACATACATATACGTACATACATGTATGTATGTGCACATGTCTATGTATCTAGATAGCAGTTGCTTAGGTCGGGTGCGGTGTTTGCCAAGTTCCATTAATGAATACAAACTAAACGTGTTATCGTTATCGTTATCGCTATCGGCTAACGTCTATTGACTAACAGCTATCGGCTATCGTTTATCATTTATCGTCTATCGTCTATCGTCTATCGTTAGTATTTAGTTCTCTGTATCGCCCACCTCTACCGCTTCATGCGTTTCTCTCATATTTATTTTCTTAGTTTCATTTATTTTTTGCTTTTGTTTTTTTTTTCATTTTGTTTTGTTTGGCCACGTTTGCAAAATTTTTAAAAAATTTTCTTGTTTTGGGTTTTCGCTTTTGCAACTAATTCAGCAATTTTTCTCATTCCTCTTTAGTTTTTCCTATGCCAAAACTATATTTGTTTTATTTCTCCTCTCTCTGCCTTACTTAAGCGCTAAAAGATAAAAAAAAATTGTTTATTTTTATTTCGTATATATTTTTACAATATTTTATTCTAAGTAGTTTTTTTTTTACTTTTTGCAATAAATTCGATAAGCACCAATTCATCAAAAAACGAAAAAATTCTTTCAAAATCAAAAACTTCAATCCAAATGAAAATTCAAACTCGTGTTGATGTCGCGAGTCAAAAAAGTTTTGCTCGAGCTTTATGGTTGGACGGAAAAAATGAACCAGCTGCGATGTGAAACGGATATCGGAAATCGGAAAGCGAGTCTCGATTGAATTTTGTTGTTTTCTGTAGGGGTATTCCCACTACCTAATTGTTTAATACTGTGGTTTTTTTTTTTTTATTTTAAGTTTTATTTATTTATTTTTACTTGTGTTCTTCTGTTTTTACTCGCAAAACTTAAAAATAATAACAAAACATTTTACATATCATAATATATTTAAGGCTAAAAGTTAGTTTAGGATGCAAAAAAAAAAAAAAAAAGATTTAAATTTATAATCAATGTTTATGCATTAAGATTAATTTTAAATATTTTAATACTCCTCGCAATAATAAATTAATTAAATGTAGGCATACAAAATAATTTCAAAAAAGTATTTTAAGCAATAGATGATTTTTTTCTTTTGTTTATGTATGTAAAAGCTAAATTTGGAGTTTTTTCAATTTTAGATTAAAAATTGGATTTTCTTTTTAACAATTTTGCTTGGCCTGTTTTATTGGCGGCGTCGTTTTACAGTTACAATTACAGTTATAGTTATGGCGCATATATATGTTGTATATATATATGTATATTTAATTTTTAGTTGAATATTCCTTCTTATCTCTTATTTAGTTATTTATCGATTTGTTTTCCTCTTGTATACATACGAAGTAGGCTACAATGTCTATAGCATGAGCTTGTGTTCTGTTTTATTCTTTCTCTGCTTTCTATCCCTTTTCTATTTCTTCTGTACGTTGTCGTCTGTCTCCGTCTCCGTCTCCTGCTCTGTGTTTGGTCTAAACTTGGCTTAGATTAGCTACAGCTGCGACGACGCCTAAGACTATGCTTGCATTTCTTTTACTTTGTTTTTTTGCTTTTAAATATATTTATATACACTTATGATGGATATACATATATAAGTATCTAGATATATATGTATGTGTACACATCTAGTATTTTCTTTTTTCTTATGGGACATATAGCATATTTTTCGCCTCGACTTTCGCGTTCAACTTTTGCTCTGTATATATGTGTATGTGTGTGTGTGTGTGTATGTGTCTTGGTTGTTTTTGTTTAAAACTATGCCAGTCTCAAAAAGCTCGAGTACCACGATTATGTAACAAAAAAAAAAAAAAAAAAATTCCATCTTCCTCTTAGTTGTTGTGTTTTTCTCTCGTAATATTTTTATAGGTCTATGCCCTATATCATACTAAGATGCGACTGCGGCTGCGTCAAGTTTTCCTTATTGTTTGTGTGCTGCTGTATATGCATATACATATACATATTTACCTATATATATTTTTAGTATTTCCATGTATTTTTTTTATGGGGGCGCATTCATTAAATATAGTATATATGTATATTTAAAGGTATAAATTGCCCTTTGCTTCGATATTTGCATATATATGTATATATTGACCACATACACACGCACACATATACATCTACACACGCACACACATATACACCAATATATGCATGCATATATGCTATAGCTCTAACGGCATATCATATATATATAATATTTATCCTTTACTTTTTATGCATTTGCTCTGTCGCATTTCTAATCTCTAACGATTAATAATTATATAAAAAAAAAATTCTTGTTTAGCTTGGACTTAAAAAAAAAATGAATTGATTAACATATTTGTATATATATATATATATTTATAGTTTAATCTGTAGGCCTATTATTTAGTATTTAGTACAGTTGCGCCCTCGCTTTATCTCTATCTCCTGCGATTCTCTGTCTCTGTCTCTGTCTCTGTCTCTGTTCCTTTGCTAACCCAGTGGCTATAATACTCGTATTTATGATAATTATAAATATTTAATTATATTTAGTGGGCTTTCCTTGTGTTAATTCGTACTTGGGAGGGGTTCCTAGGAGCTAACAGGCGACCGGCTCCGCATCTGGCGCCGCTTCGTGGTCGTCCGTGGACCAGCTGAGGCTGCGCCGCCGCCGCTGGACATTGGAGACGCCGGCCGCACCGCCAGTGGCGCCCTTCTTCTTCACGAACTTGATGTTGTACGGGTCCTCGGCCAGCTCCGGGTAGAGCGCGACATCGTGTATATACTCACCCTCATAGTTGTTGGCATAGCTCTGCTTGAGTATCTCGTCGCTCTCCTGCTGAGTCCACTCGAGCGCGGTGGTTAGGCCGCTGCGCAGCGCCTCCTTCTCGCGATGCCAGGCCTTGCGCACCGCCGTCAGCTTGGCGTGGTGCATCAGGCGCTGCTGCTCCTTGGCCACGGTGGTGCCGTATCGCAGATTGATGATCGCATGCGCCCCATGAATCTTGACGTCCAGGTAATTGCCGCCAGATGAGCTGCCAGCGCCTGCACCACCGGCTGCTGCACCAGCCCCACCGGCGGCCGTCGACTCGCGCGTGATCTCATGGAAGGTGGTGTTCACCTGGCCCTGCAGACGCTTCAGCTGCTGGCGATCCTCGCTGGCGCGCCACGCGTCCTCCTTGACGAAGAAGAACGAGTCCTGCTGGGCATTGTGCACCACGAAGGTGAACGGCAGCAGCTTGGACCGGTTGAAGACGCTCGTATAGACATCCCGATAGATGGCGTTCGCGGCCGGCACGCTGGAGACGATCGCCTGGCCGTCAGCGGTGCGCGACACCACAATGCCCTTGCCAAACGGCGGCTCCGTGTCGGAGCCAATGATCCGCGGCGACGGATCCATGACATCGCACTTGAGGGCGGAGCGCGGTGGCGCCGACAGCTGCTCAAAGTCGGACATGCGACGGACGTTGAGGTGGGCCAGGAAGCCGCTCTCGACGGCCATGGTGGGTATGTTGTCGAAGGGACGGCGCATGTTGAGCGCTATTGGATTGGTCGGCGGGCGGCCCCACAGCGCTGGGGGCTGCCACAAGTCCTTGGCCAGCTGCGGCATCAGGTTGCCCACGTTGTAGCCGAGGGTGCGCAGCCAGCTGGCAAAGTCGGCGGGATAGTGACGCTCCTGGCCCACATTGATGGGGTCGTTGCCATTGAAGCGATACAAATGGAGGCGCGTGGGTGTTATGATGCGCTCGGCGACCCGCTGCCAGTCGGGCGACATCCACTGGCCAATCAACGGATCGTACACCCGTCCATCGCCCATGTGCACCAGCGTCGTCACCTGGTCCAGAATGCCGCCACAGAAATCGATGGGCAAGTACAGATACGGATTCGAATCGTACACGATGTGGCCGAACGGCGAACGCATTATCTCCCGAATGCCCTCGCCGTACTGATTGAACAGCATCAGCGGGGTGCCGCTCTGGTCCGTGGCCACGTAGTACTTGTGCCTGTACACCTGGGCGTAGATCAGGTGGCCCACATCGTCGTAGGTCAGCGACATCAGCTTGCCATCGCGCGGCGAGTAGATCTGCGACACCTCATAGGGGCGCTGCTGGTTCGTGTAGAAGAACTGGGTGACATTGCCGAAGTTATCCTTGCGCGTGGTCAGGCGCTTCAGATGATCATAGTAGTATCGGACGTCGAACCGTCCGCGCTTCGAGGCGCGCACCAAGAGACCCTGGGTATTGTAGTGGAAGCGCTCCTCCCGCGCATTCTGCGCCACCAAGCCCCTGGCGTCGTACTTGTACTGGCCCTCGCCGAACTTGACGATGCGGTCCTGGGCATTGTACTCCATGGGTATGGTGTTGCCGCGGTACGTCAGGGATAGCAGATTGCCGTTGTCGTCGTACCGGAAGCCCCACGGCTCCTGCGCCTCGACGCCCACCAGCTGCCCGTCGCAGTCCCACGTGTAGTTCTTCACATTCGTGTAGCTGTTGACGGCCATGTTGCGGGTGTAGGTGCGGGTCTGCGAGATGCGGCCGTGGACACCGTACGTGAACTCCATGCGGAACACCTCCAGCCGGTGTATGGACAGGGCCATGCACTGCGTCTGGAAGCGGCCGTCGACGGTGCGCGTAAAGCCAGCGGTGCCGTCGTGCAGCTGGGTCTGGTTCAGAGCTGGCCGCGTGAACTTGAACTGGCCAATCAGGCTGGGCTGTCCGGTGCGCCGGTCGTAGGCGTACGCCTGGCTGGGCAAGCTCTGGCCGCCGATGCGGCCCTGTAGTGCCACGACGCGCAGCTGGCTGTCATATTCGTAGCTAAACTTGGCATTGCTCAGGCCCGTCTTGGCCACGTAGTCGATGCGCTCCTCGGTCAACAGGCCCGCGGCGTACTCAAAGTCCCAGCGGTACTCCAGCTCCCGCTCGGCATGCGAGACGGTGCTGGGCATGCCAGTGGCATCGTTGTACTGGAACTCGCTACGTCCGTCGCCGTGCACCACCTCCGTCAGCTGGCCGGCCGCATTGTAGCGATAGACGATGCGAGCACCGTCCCCGGGCAATATGGTCTGCAGCAGGGCACCCGCATGGCTGTAGTGCTGCAGGTAGGCGCGCGTGCTGCCCGGCGGCGTGTAGGTGCAGCGAATGAAGCCGATCGAGGTCTGCATGCTGAAGCTGTGCCGTGTGCCCGACGGCAGGACGACATGCCTCAAGCCGCCGGCATCGTCGTACTGCAGCACAAACTTGCGCTGGCTGGCCAGGCCGATCTCCGAGACGAGGTTCCAGTCGTTGTACACGAAGCTGATGATGCCGTCCTGCTGTGAGGTGATCTCCGAGAGCAGGCCGTGACGATCGTAGCTGTACTTCAGCTCAGCCGGGCCCCAGGCCCAGCCCTCGACACGATTGAAGCGATCGTAGGTGATGTTCACGGGATAGCCATTGGTCGGATAGTAGGACTTGGGCAAGCCGGACTGATCGTAGGCCACAATCAGTATGGGCGTGCGATTCGCGTCGTAGAACGTCTCCCGATTGGTGAACTGATCGAACTCGACGCCAATGACACGCGACTGATTCACCCAAATCTCGCGATTCAGCGTCTGCTGCGGATTGCGCACATCGCCGACCAGATTGTAGACGGAGTACATCGAGTTGGTTAGGCCATCGCCCATGGTGACGCTCTGGTGCGACCACATGGCCAGCATTTCGGCCTCGACGGGCAGCGCCGCCTCCAGCAGAGGATGCCGAGCCACGGCCGAGGCCTCGACGACGACGCCATTGGCGCCGTGTATGACCAGCGTGTTGTTGGCCTTCAGCTCGGCATCGGCGTGGGCGCGTCCGCGCTTCAGGAAGGTCGAGCGTACGCCACCCAGGACCAGCAGCTCGTTGGCATTGCTATCGCCGGCGGCGCCTACGCCGGACACGCGCTCCCGTGAGAAGAGCGATTCGACCGAGGCGTGCACATAGATCGTGAGTCCCTTGTTGTCCGCCAGCTGTGAGGTGATGCGCACGATCTCGCCGCTGGGCAGTATCATGCCCGTGACACGGCCAAATTCATCGTACTGATAGATGTACGTCTCGCCGCCCGAGGAGCGCGAGTTCAACAGGCCCGTATTGCTGTCGTAGTCCAGCTCGATCTCCTGCCGCCCCTTCTCGCTCAGCTTGGTCATGATGCCGATGCCATTGATCTGTATCTCCGACTTGTGATCCTGGGTGTTCTCAATGGAGCTCACCACGTTGCTGTAGTCACGCAAGAACTGGATCTTATTGCCCGAGGCATCCGTCACCGTCGACAGGCGGCCGAAGCTGGTGTTCTTCGAGTAGAGGAAACTGTAGCGTGTCTTGCCCGACGTCAGATCCTTGGTGGCCACATGCTGGCCATAGCGATTGAACACGTAGATCTCACTGGACGGCGGGAACGGTATGTGGAACTCGCCGTTCTCATCGTGCGACGGCAAATAGTGCTCCAAGGCGAGCACGTGCAGCGAGCCTGCAAAGGGAGACAAACGAGGATTGTTGTTAGTTGAGGCATGTGAGGGGAGAAGTATTGCAGCGGGTGGATATTATCTTAGCACGTTATCTTAATTTTAGTCCAGCTATGCTCTATGCCCTATTGAGATTTCTGCTTCCTCTTCTGCTAATGGCATTCTCGTTTGTTTTGAATCGACGGCGCTTTGCCCAACTATCGATAGTTAGCTATAACTCTATCGATACTTAGCCATTGTGCTATTCAGTGCTGCCACCTTTTCGGCAGAATAAAAAACTAGATCTAGTGCAATGCGCAATGCACATAAGCTGTACGTATAGAAATGTCTATTTGTAAATTTTATGAATATTTGAGAAAATTCAACAATAGGTTCAGCTAGATACCTCACGCTCAGTAGTCACATTTTCATTTCCTTTTCGAAAAGCTTGCCCAGTTCTCTGCAATCACATTCAGTTCTTTTCACACAGTATTTATATGGCATTGTGGACGAAATATGATAGCTATTGTGCGCTCCCCAGCTGCCTGGGCTCAACAATAAAACTCTATTGGTGCAATCCTTTAGCTTTACGGCATCTCAGTGCAGTTGTGCTTCAGTATTTGTGCAATATAAAATACCTTTCAAAATGGTCATTAAATGTGTCTTGCTATTGTAGGCCCTCTCACTCACTCACTCACTCACTCACTCTCTCTCTCTCTCTCTCTCTCTCTCTCTCTCTCTCTCTTTCTTTTGACTGCATTTGCTTAAGCTAAACGCCAACTTCTTGCAGCTGTTTGCTTTTACAGAGCTCCCTCCACACAGCGACTGCCCATAAAACGTTGCAAGTTTTAAAATCTCTGCACAAAAAAAAATGTGAGAGCAAGAGAGGGACAGCACGGGAGTGAGCGAGAGAGAGAGAGAGAGAGAGAGAGAGAGAGACAGAGAAGTGTCTGCCTGCCTTAAGTATTTTTGTGCAATTTGCTGGCTGTTGTTCCACAGTTGTTGTTGTTGCTGTTGTTGTTGCCTGTGTTGCGTTACATTTTAAGTTAGTGTTGGTAAATCGCTTTGGATTTGCATAAATTTGCTTGTTTTTGCCAGCTTTGCATGACAAACACCGACGACAACAGTTGACAACACTGACAGACAGAGACACAGACGAAATGTTGGCAATAAGTAGCTGCAGTTGCTTCCATTACTGCTGACAGCCTGACTGTACTCTACTTTCATAACTCGCACCTAAACACACACACTCGCATATATGCACACACATATTGCATACATATACATTTTCATTGAATAGAAACTGTTTCAAGTGTAATGAGATATCCGACGGAAATATTGTCCGCATCTCGGGCAACTCTTCTGAGCATGGCAAATAATGAGCATATTCTATATGAGTGTGTGCAGTGGAGATGCCCTTTCCTCGGTTGTCTCATTATCGATGAGCAATTCGAGTTTAGTTTATACGAAAGGTGCCTGAACTGAAACTCTGATTGAGCCATTCAATCAGAACTCCAGAGAGTATATCTACGAAAATGGGTTGAAGTTGCGGTAGAGGAAATAAACTATTTTATATATTATATATGTTATATAATGATTCATTTATTCTACTCAAATTCCTTCCCACTTTCTTTAAGCCTTACTTCTTACACCCTAAGCCCATTGAACATGAGGGCATATGAATAGGTTTTCTTAAAGGTCATAGAGTCTGTCCACCTGTCCATTCGTTCGTCTGCTCGTCCGCCTGTCTATCTGTTCAGCTATCCGCCCTCTATCCCTATATACAAATACATTAATCTCTATTCCAAGAGCTACAAGAGTTAAGGACTTGCAATGCTTTTCAGGGTATCACCTAGTCAAGTATTCCCGCCTAGAGTTTTCTTGCTTGTTTAAGTGTATTAGAATTTTGTTTTTCCTAACTCTAACGCTATGAGCCGTACCACATGCCCAGCACTCTTTCATTCCCGATTCCCATTCCCGATTCCCCATTCCCGATTCCCCATTCCCATTCGCATTCACATTAAAATGATAATCGCTCGCATATGACAATAAAATATTTAAGACGTTGTTTGGCTGTTCGTTTCCATTGTTGTTGCTGTTGCTGTTGTTGTTGTTGTCGGTGTTGATTTGATTGCGTTACAGTTCATTTACCCAGCGCGCTAGAAGAAGAGCCAAATACATAGTTTGGTAGCTGCGCTGAGCTGCGCCCGCTCTTGGCTGAGTATCCATTTTTGGGGTCACAATTTGGGACAAGTTTTCCATGTTTGCGGGCAAAGCAAAAACAGGAGCAAGTGTGGGGGTGGGGGGAGCTGGGGGTAGAGCGTGCGCTGTGTGTGGGAGAGGAGAGGGAAGGGCTCAGCTGAGGTAGTTGGATTTTCAGGACGCAGGACATTGGCAGAGCGCCAAATGCTGTGGCGTCAACGATTGAGCGAATTTCAATGCAATGCAATTCGCTCCACTGGATGTAGCGAGGGCGTGCCCCCACCCCCACACACGTATGTGTATGTGTGTGGGTGTGTGTGTGTATAATGTAATGTAATGTAATGGTAATGACCCCATAAAGTGAACAACTTGTTTGTGCTCGTCGCTGTGCCAAAGGGCTGGCTGCCAGTCAGTCGCCTCTCCCCCTCTCCCCCTACCCCACCCATCCCTCTCTCTCTCTCTTTGTTGGCTGTGCAAAAAGGGGTTCGGCTCTTGTGCTCACGCCCACACGCTCAGCATGTATCGGTTTTTGTGGGTCTATTGGTCTATCGGTTTGTCGTTCACTCGCTCACTCGTTCAGCTTCGCTGATTTTAAGCTGTTTTTCTAGCTGGCATATGTGACAGCGCACAAGTGTTGCCAATATTCATTCAAATGGAATTTAAATGCATTTGCGCTGCCACCCCATGTACCTACATCCATCTATCTACCTTCTTCTTCTTCTTCTTCTTCTTCTACTGCTCTGCGTGCCAGTCGGAGGTATGCTAAGAATAAGTTCTTGTTGCTTAGTTACAGTTAGTTAGGGCCATTCAAATGTGAATGCAGCCTGCGCAGCAATCTTCAACTGTAAATATTTACGAATGCTGCATACAGAGAAACTATACAATTCTGAGAGAGAGAGAGAGAGAGAGAGAGAAAGGGAGAGAGAGAGAGAGAGAGAGAGTGAGAGAGAGAGAAAAGGTGATTGCGCTTTCAAAAGTTCTCAACTATTTGGTTTTCCAACATCCTACACACATACATATATTGTTGGCTGAGCGTGCTGCTATGCAGGGTTGCCACCTCTTCCATAGTTTCTCATTTCAACTTTTTATAGCTTATGAAACTCAATTTTAATGAGTTTTTCTTTTTAATTAAAGGCCAAGTATCGACTGCTCCTGCTCCCACACTCACACTCACACGCTCGTGGGCGATTAATGAGTTTGGGTTACAACTTTTCTGATTATTCCCAGCTATCCCCTGGCTGCTGCTCAGCGTTGCCGGCTCGCTCATTGATCAGCTTTTGCGTTGTCATTTGCTCCAATTCGCAGTGTCTAAGCCGTGCCGCTGCTCCAACCCCAGCCCAGAGGGTTGTGCTCTTCCTATGCTAGTCGCAACGCATTTAACGCAACAATTTTTCACACACACTCGCCTACACTGAACAAAATAATCAACTAACTTTGAGAGCATCAATTGAATTTCATGAAGTTTTCTATCAGAAGGTAGTTTGTATATATGTATGTACATATGTTTATAGCTATACCTATATGTTTACTGTGTACATCCTCGCTTTATCTACTTCAACTTTTCGCTCAGTGTAGCTGCTTGCATTGGCACTTAAGCTATAAGCTTTTAATGAAGCTTATTTACGTTTTGCTCGGTCTAACAAAAACCTCCAACTCTTGCCCCCTTAACATGTTTTACTACCGACTGTCTTCCACACACACACACACCCACACACTCACACACACACACATTGCGCTTTTGATTAATGCATGCTCATAGCTTTCAGCTGGGTGGGGAGTTGGGGCTTTGGCTTGGCTCGGCTCGGCTCGAGGTTTTGCTTTCGCTTCGCATTACAAGCGCCAATTCGCCGCGTAGGTAATAAGATTGATTTTCACTTTTTCGCTTTTGGCCAAAACCAGACCAGATCCCACTCTAGGCACCGTTGCCTGCCTGCTCAATCGCCCCTCCCTCCCTTGCCTCTAGGCAATCACTCACACGTGGAGACTCTGTCTTTCCACTGCCGGCGCGACTAAAACTTGATTAATTATAGTCATTGATTTGCTTTCCACGGCTGGCACTGCTGCTACTCCTGCTGCTGCTCCCTCTTCTCCTTCTATGTATTTCTACTTTTACTTTTGCTGCTGCTTCCACGTCCTGCCCTTCATTAATTTGTTTTGCGTTGTCAAGCGTCTGCAACCCCCTCGCCGGCCCACCCCTTTTGCTCTTTCTTTTCATACTCTCCCTCTCCCTCTTCTTTCTTTCTTTCTTTTTCTTTTTTCTTTGCCGTGTGCAGTGCACATCGTTAGCGTCGCGTCGCTTCAGCTCTTCGTCTCGGCCCATTGTCGAAATTTATTAATTACATTTTTGGTCTTATCAAATTACGTTTTGTTAATGCACTCAAATTTATACCTTTGCCAGGCCCAGGCCCAGGCCCAGCCCCAGAATGAACCACCGACCGACCGACCCACTTGATCCAGCTACCACTGCTCACTCTCTCTCTCTCTCTCTCTCTCTCTCTCTCTCTCTGCCTTTCCTCTCACTCTCTTTCCTTTACCCTCGCCATCCCTCCTCTCCGTTTCTCTCCTTTGGTTTTCTTGTTGTTTTTTGAGCTTTTGCTTTTCGGCTCTGCCAGCACTTTGGGCTTCATCTTATTTATTGGCGGCCATTTTGTTTAAGCTTCCTCTTCGTCTAACTGTGCTACCTGCTGTGCAGGTGTGCGTGTGTGTGTGTGTGTGTGTGTGTGTGTGTGTGTGCATGGTTGTATGTGTGCGTATTTCGTCCTAATTTGTCCTCGTTCGAATTGTGACGGAAATTGGTTTCGTTTTTTATTTCTTCTTGCGCTTGACTGTTGCCCCCGCTCACTCGCTCTCTCTCTCTCACTCTCTCTCTCCCTCTCTCTCTGCTGCATTGTACACTTCTACATTTCATTTCCCGCTCAATGCTTTTGCCATAATGGCCAATTACAGTGACAACAACAACCACAGCTGTGACAACTGTTTCCAGTTCCAGTTGTTGTTGTTTTTGTTGTTGTTGTTGTCCTTATTATTATTATTATTATTATTGTTGTCATTGTCGTACGGCCTGTGTTCTTGTTGTTGTTGCGTTTTGTGTTTTGCAATATGTCGCAAATTTCACTTCCGCTTTTAACAAATGCTACCTGTCTCACTCCCACTCTCTCTCTCTCTCTCTCTCTCTCTCTCTGTCTCTCTCTCTCGCTCTCTCCTTCTTGAATTTCTTTTGCTTTTCATATTGATAGCACAGCATGAAAAATCAGAGGCAAAAGCAAACGAAAGAAAATAAAATACGATCTAAATTTGTGCAAAAAGGAAATGTAACATGAGTGTGTGCGTGTGTGTGTGTGCGTGTGTGTGTGCTAGTATGTGTATGTGTATTATTTGAAGTTGACAAATTTCTATTTAGAGCACATGGCAGATGGGCAGCTGCCACGCCCACGCCCACGCCCAAGCGTCGGCCCACTTAAAGTGCGTGCGCCAAGTGCTGCATGAATATTCATTCGAATAATTGAATGTATTCATTTGGAATTGACAGCCAGCAAATGAATGCGCATCTGCGTTTATTAGCCGCGATTATTCAGCACGCTAACTGATTACGTCAACATTTCGTTTGCGGTCAATTGGACGAATCCGCTCGAAAGTCAATCGGAAATATAGAAAAACATTTGATTGGTTTCCTATTTTTTTTTTTTTTTAGTTTATTCAATAGTTTTTCTATTTTCCACTGAAGCGAGTAGCCATGAGAGAAGCTCAATAGGTTATCTGAGTTTATTGTGATGCCGAATCATTAAATGGTTTGCAGGCAATAGGAATTCCATTAGAAGTCTACATCGCTTAACACAATGCTTCTCACTTCTTTACACTTCTTTACTTTGCTTATGCTCCAACTTATCGTAGCGCTACTCGCATCTCACTTTCTTTGTCTAGCTCCATTATGTTCAATGCCAAGAAGGCTTCTCGCTTCTTTTCAGTTTATCTATAGTTTTATCTCTTTGTTTATATTCAAACTTATCTTAATGCAGCCCTCTTCTCACTTTCTCAGCTTGGCTCTATTATGTCCTTTGCAAAATGCTTCTCGCTTCTGTTCAGGTTATGTTGCTACCGCCTCTACTTTTGTTTTCATTCGAACTTATCACATTACTGTTTGCTTCTCACTTCATTGTAAGACTTTGCTTAAATTCCAATTTCTCACAGTACTACAAGCTTCTCATTTCTTTGCTTGATACAAAATGCTTCTCGCTTCTTCTAAGTTTACCTTTTGCATCTCTTTTTATGTATTATTATTTCTATATGCTCCTCGTTTCTTTTCAACTTATCCTCTGCTCTTCTTTCTTATTACTCTCTTTCCAACTTATTACTCATCTTGAATCTTACTTCTTCAAGCTTCCTATTTTGCTTCTCCCTACATTCACTGCTTTACCTTACTCTTAGTGCCCTTTTCAAAATGTTTCTCTCTTCTCCAAAGCTCATCTAGTGCTTCTTTCTTTACCTATGTGAGCTCTCCATATTAATGCAGTCTAAGTATGCTTCTTGCTTTATCAGCTCATGGCCTATCTTAGACTTGGCTTCTTCTAATTGTCCTCCCTATGTATTCCTTACTTTACCTCTATGTATGCTTCTCTCATCAATTGTTAGCTCTATCATTTACTCCCTCTAGTTGTTCCATTCCACATTAAGCTCCGTCGTGCTTCACTTTTCTTTTCTCCATTCACTTAACTCTATTTAGCTATAATTCAGTGGCTGTACTCACCTTGATCGGCCACATTGATGACACCGTCCTGGGCCACCGCGATGGCCGAGATGGCCTGGAAGCGGGCGTTCGAGGAGAGCAGCGTCTCGGCGTTGCTCAGGGTGCCGTCGTCGTTTAGGGTGGCGCCCAGGCCCAGATTGGAGCCGGCGCCGCCAGCTGTTGTCTTGGCGCCCAGCAGCACTGTTGTGGTTGTGGTGGGGCCGGTGGACATTAGGCTGCCGCCGGCCACAATGCCGGCAAGTGTGCCCGAGTTGCTGCCGGAGATGCTGCCGCCGGGGCAGACGCAGACGCCGCTGCTGTTCAGTACGCCAGCGCCGCTGCCGCTGCCGCTGCTGCCGGCGCTGCCAGCGGCAGAGCTGCCATTATTTCCGTTTCCGCCAGCTGGTGTCGTCGGCGTCGTGCCGCCATTATTGCGTGTCGGATTCACGGTCGTTGAGTAGGCGCCTCCACTGGCCACGCCCAGTCCGGCGGCCGCCGAGCCATTGCTGCCATTTCCAATTGCACAGTCGCAGGTCTGAGTGCTGTGGCAAAAACCAAAGAGGAAGAGATGCCAAGAGCATTGCGAGAGCGTTAGTAATGTAACAGGAAATGCTTAGACCCTTAAGCCAGCCACCCACACCAGCCACACCACCCACACCACCCACACAGAACCGTCGTCCATTCACCCAACCGCCGTTATCTGTGGCGCAGGCATCGTTTACATGTCGCTGCCACGCCCCCCCGCAGCCGACACACAGCTCAGGGTGGTGCTGCTCAGGGTGGTGCTGAGGCGCTTTGTAACCCGACGCGTATTTATGATGACATTGTTTGTTCGATAAACATTTTAAAGTAAAGTGCAGACAACGCAAACCTGACCCAATGCCTCGCTCCAACCCCCCTCCCCCTGCCCCCTGCTACTCCCTTGAGCTTCTGTCGTGCTCGCTTATCGCGCTCCGGCCACGCCCACTTGAAATGGCTGGCGGGTGGCTGGCTGGCTGGCGGGCTGCTTCGTGTGCAGTAGCTACTAAATAAAAAGGTTGATTTATAGTTTCTGTCGTTGGCTCCGGCCGCCGTTTGCGGTGTCTGCTAATTACTTTTGCCACGTCTGCCCCGGCCACGCCCACTTTTCAAAAAGAATGGGGCGACAGCGCCAGCAGCAGCTGTACAATAGCTGAACCCTTTAATATGCCAGGCAGTTGAGCTCAGACCCTCGATCAGGTCTGTCCATCAAAGCGAGCGTCGCAATGGAATTCTATTAGATTAAATAAACTGCCAGCTGCATAAAGTTGCACACACTTGCGTATGTGTGTGCGGGTGTGAGTGTGTGAGTGTGTGTGTATGTGTGTGAAATATGCTATATTTATGGCAGACACCCAACCTTCTGCCTGTGCCGGGGCACCTAGTACGTGGCTCTGGGCAGCCGCAAACTAAACAGCGAAACAAATTAATTAGTTTACTTTGTTCCATGTTGTGCGGTTCTGAGCGAGATAGAGCGAGAGAGACAGAGAGAGAGAGAGAGAGAGAGAGGGGAATAGAAAGAGAGAGCGAGAGTTTGAAAAATATTCCCAAACAGATTTCAGTTGGGATCTTTCATCTATATCAATTTTTTTTAGTTATCTCTCTCTATTTTCCTCTCTCTCTCTCTCTTTCCTACCTTCTCTATTATCTATCTCTCTTATAGATCATAGTTACAGTGCTTTAATAGACAATCACTTCTCAGGTTCATCAGTTCCAGGTGGCTCTTTGTTCTATCAATTTGAATTTCACTCGTTTTACAGCACTGTTTTTACTCTTATGCAACACTGTTTTCAAGCTTTTTACAGCTATTTTCTTCCATTATAAACCTATGGTCCTATTAATGCAACTAATGCTGATTTCTCTTTCATTACGAACTGTTAACCAACACTGTTGCAATACAACTAATGCTGATTTCTCTTTCATTACGAACTGTTAACCAACACTGTTCTATGGGTAAAAGCTTAATGACACACTAGACATTCTTTATAAGGTTTCTCAAGTACTATGCACCATTTGGCTGATGTTTCTGCATACTCTTGCACACGTTATGCAACACTTAAAACACATTTTTTCTGCTATAAAATCATCTCTCTAATTTCCGAACGTCTTACAGCACTGACTGCTCTCTATTGCTGCCACTTGCAGTTTGCATTTTGTTGCTCATTACTTTTCAGGCACTTTGCAACACTATTCAAATAGAAATCATTTCATTTTCCAAGGCTGCTGCTTTCCACTTGCCAGCTCAATTCAATTCGATTCGATTCGATTCGATTCAATGCGTTGGCCAACACTGCACGTGGCACAAAATGCAAATATGCTCGTTGGCTGTGCGACACACTAGCACACTAATACACTCACACACATGCACACACACACACATGCCTAGCAATTCCCAAATGCCAAAATTCCAATTAATTTTTTGGTCACTGTTTTTGATGCTTTAAAGAAGATTTAATCAAGTCAAATAAAGTAAACTCTGCAGCATCAACTATCGATTGGCCTCGAATGAGCACACACACACACACACACACACACACACATGCGCATGCATGTGTGCATACATGTTGTGCATATAAACTGTAGCACTAGCCTAGCTGCATTGACATTTATTGGCCGAGTTTTGGTTGCACTTGCAGCAAATTTTATGCAAGTGCAGCTGAAAAATATGTATACCCTGTTTGTGATATAAATGGCTAGAGGGCATGTGCAGCTATTCGGTGTGCTTGTCATAGGCAATAGATTTATGGAGCTGCTAACAGTTGAAGGTTTAATCGACAAGTCAGTCTAGAGGAATTTGGAATTGGTTTAGCTCTTCGGGTTCAATTCCGTAAGATTCTTCCGGCACTACTACTTTATATTCAATGTATTTCAGCTACTCTAGTTACATGGGTTTCTCTCTCATTTCATCGATATATATCGTTGATATATACCCAGTCTGGACTGGGTATCTTTCATTCATCGACCCACACTCTACAGGGCATCCGTCAGTCGCACCGTCCACGCTCCCCAGCCTGTCTGTTTTTATTTATGCCCCTCTAGAGATATCGCTTTTTGGCAGAATGCAAATGGCCAAAAAGCGTTCGAACCGTCAGATAATTGGGTCAAATATGCGCATAAACAAGTTGCGAGTCCCCAATGGACGGCAGCATCGAACGGGTCGAGCGGAGCGCCGGTTGTACGGGGTGTGCGGGTGACGGGCGTGCTGTTGGCTCACTCTGCATTGATTACTCACCCGGTGCCCTCCTGTTTGCCAGCAAAGTAACGCATATTTCCGGCGGTGTCGACGACGCGTATCGAGTTGATGCGCCTCGAGTCGCTGTCCGCTATGTAGAGATCGCCGAAGGGTGAGAAGGCCATGGCCAGGACGGTGCCGAGGACATTGTCCGTGGCCGTCTTGTTGACGCGATTGTCCGGCCCGTTGTTGCTGCAGTGCAACGGCGTGCCAGCCACCACGCGTATCTTCATGTCCGACGTGAGACGCAGCACGAGCCGATCGTCGATGAAGTGCAGCGAGCCGTCGAGCGGACTAAGTGCCAGGCCTGTGGGCCATTGCAGCTGGGCCTGGTTGGCCATCAGGGTGCCCGAGCAGGGCGCCGGACTCCAGTGATTGTGATGGCCGTGATGGCCGATGAGCGTGTGAATGACGCCCTTGGGATCGACGGCGCGTATGTTGGTGCCGTCGGCGATGTACATGGTGCGATCGGCGGCAATGGCCAGGCCCTTGGGATGGGAGAGGCGCGCCTGCAGGGCGGGGCCGCCGTCGCCGCAGTTGCCCTCGTCGCCGGGAATGCAGCGCTGGCCGCTGCCCACGACGGGCTCACTGTTGATGCTGGGATCCTTGACCTTCTCGAGCCGCAGCAGGCGCAGTATCTGATGCCGTTCCGGATCCGAAATGTACAGGTGTCCGTCGGCCGGCGATACGGCCAAATAGTACTGATACGAGACTTGGGTAGCGCTCAGCTGGAGTATGGTGAAGACCTTGCCGTCGGGCGTGATGCGACGCACCAGATTGAAGTCGCCCACGTAGAGACTGCCGTCGGGTCCCGTGGCCAGGGCGATCGGTGTCAGGAGCTTGGCGTCCTTGGCCACGCCGTTGCAGTAGTCCGGACAGTTGAGCGGACGCTGCAGACCCGTGCCCATGACGACCTTGACCGTGCGCGGATACTCCTTCATGTGGAGCGTGGAGCCGTCGCCCTTCTGCAGTATGCCCTCATGGAAGTTGTAATGATGGTGAATGTCCAGGCCCCAGCCACCGATATCGGAGATGTCCACATCGTAGCCCTGCAGCTTCGCGGTCTGCGTTATCCAAACCGGAGTCAGGCACGTGCTGTGCTGATAGCCCACGGAGATGCGGGCGATGGTCACGCCGTAGACCTTCTGCCGGTAGACGTTGCGCTTGTTCCAGGCAAACGTGTGAATCAGGTTCGGATCGGCCTCGTAGGTCTTCACGTGCAGTGCGCCCTCGATCTCCACGCCCACATGCACATGGGTCAGCGTCTTGGGTATCATCTCCGAGGTCAGCCGCATGCGCACAATGCTCAAATAGCCAGAGGCTTGCGACGATTGGTATGTGAGATGCAGGTCGGAGCCGGGTATTTGAATCGACTCCTGGACAATCTGTGAAAGGAAAAGTTGCAAAATTCATAATTTGATTAGTGTTGGTAAGCGAGCAAAGCTGAATGCTAAGACATTGGATATAGTAAAGTCTGAGTAGAGAGAGTAGATGGGATAGCCAATAAATGGAGAGTATATATAGGAGACAAGTTATTTTAGTGTTGGAAAGTGACAGAGCCTTATGAGAGATATTAGAAAAAGTCTTAGATTAGGGTATGGCAGAAGATGAACAAAAGTAAAAATGTGAGACTATAAGGAAAAAGTTGGAATACCCTAGTGGGTTAGAGTTGGAAAGTGAACAAAATTGATTGAGTGAGAAGATGAGTGAAATCCATAAATGAGAAGGAGAGATTCAGATGGAGATAGAGAGAGAGAGAGAGAGAGAGAGAGAGAGAGAGAGGGGAAAAGAGATATAGAGAGAGAAAATGACACTAAAGTGCAGTGTTGAGCAATGCGTTAAGCTGCAGGGAGCTTGTAAAATTGACTGCAAAATGCAGGCAATCAAGAATTATTGTCAGAGCGTAGAGAACGAAAGGCCGAAGAGGTTGCTCAAAGCGAAACGAGAATGGAGGCAATCAGGGCCCGGCTGGGCGGGCCTTTGAGAGCACTATAATTGTCGCTGCCTCTAAGTGAGTTAGTTATTAGCCTTGCGGTCAGGTCGCTGGCTAGCTGGCTAGCTGCTTGGAGCGCAGCTGGAGCACAAGGCATAATGCAGCAATTAAACGTAATGCTCAGCTCTCTCAGTCACTTTCCCTCTCTCTCTCTCTGTCCCTTTCATCCTCTCTGCTTGTGCTTGGCTTGTTGCAAAGTTATAATGTCATTAAGGCGAACTTTAAATTAATTAAAACTACGCAGCGTCCAGCTGTTGCCCGCTGCACGGCCCGCTAATTAGGAGTGGCATTAGAGAGGATGAGCTCAGCCCAGAGGTAAGGTGCTAAGGGGCCAAGGGACTGTTCAGCTCACCTGGGTCTCGGCAAAGATGACGCGCTTGCCGGGCATCGCGCCCACGCCGTTTGGCATCCAAGTGCTAATCAGCTGCGGCTTCAGCTTCTCGTGATCGTGGTCCATGCACACTTTGCTTGCATCGTTCGCCTCGTCCGCCGTGTGATAGTGTATGGAGTTGAGGAACGTCAGCGCCGGATTCAATGGAGCCACTCTGTGGTAAGAAAACAATCGAATTGGCATTGATTGAAAGTCCATATATAACCATATATAAACCGGATTTGTATATGAAGTCATCGCTCCTGATCACTTACTTGATATTGCGGCTGGTCGTCTCATCGTCGTCGCTCAGCTGCATCTGGACGGGGGGCAGCACCACGATGCGATTCCAGGGCACAAAGACGGTGCGCGTCAGTGGACGGAATGGCGAACGTTGGAATTGTAAGGTGACAGCGCCGCCGCCATTAACCAAAACGTCAAACCTGCAAGAGAATGGGAGAGAGAGGGAGAGAGAGAGAGAGAGTGAGTGAGAGCAAGAATAAAACATGTGCAACAGCAAATTTTACGGCACAAAACATGCAAATTAATATTTTAATAAAGTTTTGGGATGCGTTTGACGCACGAGTAGACAACAGCCCACAATATTCAGGGCCTACCACCCACACCCCCCACAGTACACACCCAGCTCTGAGCAGCGCCCCGCTGAGCAGATAATACCTCAATTGTTTGTCGAAATTGAAAAACTTTAGGATTTTTGTTGGGGCAACAACAACAGCAACAACAACAGCAGATGGCAGCGACAACAATTGCTAGAGCATAAGTTAAGACCTCAGTCAGCTGTGGCCCAACCCTTAAGCCACGCCCAGCTCAGCCCACTCATAGAGACGCCCGCTTTTAGCCGCATTAAATATAATGATGGCGATTGCGTTCGGGCCGCCTTCTCATTATTGCGAGTATTTTTCGCATTGGCGTACGAAAAGTTGCAAAAACTTCGACCAGGCAATAGCTACGAGGTGAAGAAGAAGCAGCAGCAGCAGCAGCAGCAGCGCGGCAGTGTTGGAAAACAAAGGCCAGCAACAACAAGGCGTGGCCAGTGGCGCAGAAAGCTTAAGAAATGGCAAAACTTTTGCTTTGGAAATATTTAATTAATGTGATTTTTAATTGTGTTTGTATGAAGCAGCAGCAGCAGCTGCCAAAAGAGACAGCAAATCAGAGTGAGAGGGAGAGAGAGAGAGAGAGAAACACGAACAGATTTGTGGCAAAGTCTAGGCTATATCCATTACAGCCGTGCCCACTCTAACAATAGCATATGTTATACGGCAACAGAAAAAACGAAATAATTAAAATTAAATGGCAACTAACAAAAAAAGAAGAAAAAACGAGCGAGAATAATTACATTAAATTTCACAATAAACAAAGGCAAAAGCCACATTTGAAAACAATTCGATAAATAAGCAAAAAACAAATGAAATAAACCGATATACGACTCAACGATACCCTGTGAGCATGTGGCAATATGTTACATTTATACACATTTAATTTGTATCGTGATGCTGCCATTGTGATCATTCTCTCCTCTAATTTGTCACATCTAAAAGGGCGGCCATATTGCAAATGGCAATCTACTGAAGAATGCCGTCTTCAACTCACATTCTATTCGCTCATTGCCCAGCCTATCGAATGACACATATAGCCATCTCGCTCACTCGTAGAGTTTCTAGTCGCAGCCTCTGCATCCAATGGCCACTCATTGCAAGCGCGTTCAACGAGTCATGAGCAGCTATCTCGCTCTCTCGCTCAGCAACAGCGCCGACTATGTTCGGCAACAGCTATGTTTGTCTCGCTCTTTTGCACTATCTTTCGGAAAGACAATGAGAGGCAAGCAAACTGATTCGTATAAGAATTCTGATACTCCAACTAGACAAGCGATTGCAATCTAATTGGAATCAATTGGGAAACTTGTGAAACAGACTCGAGCTCAGTTTAGCTCAGTTTTTTGTGTTCATTTTGTATTAATTAAATATGTTAAATATAAATAAATAATTTTAAAATATTTAGAAAGTCCCTATTATATATACAATTTAATATTTACAAGCATGTAAAATTATATTAAAAGGAAAACAAATAATAATAATAATAATATGCCCCATTTTCGGCAATCAGTTGCTGCTAAAGGGTATGGCATTAAATATTTGTTACAATTTTTGCTAATTTAATTTAATTGTTGTCACGCTTAAAAAGAGTTACAATTGCCGTTATTGTTATGACAATTGTTGCTGCTGCCTTTTGTTGTTGTTGTTGCTGGTGGAGCTGCTGCTGGTGCTGCTGGTGGTGTTGGTGTTCGGGCATTCATACTCGCGACGCACACAAATGCAATTTACAACTTTTATAATATGTGGCTAAAAATGCCAACAATAATCCCCTGCAGCACAATATAATGACTTTTATTACCTTTATTACTGCTCGGGCAGACAACAACAACAATAGCAATAACAACAGCAACAGCAACAATAGCAATAACAACAACAATCAACAATGCATGTCAAAGGACGACAGCAACAATGGCAAACCAGCAACAGGACAGCAAATGAAGCAAAGCAACAAAAAATGAGAGTCCAAAAAAAAAAAAAACACGAAAAACAGCTCACTTTTGAGTATAGCAAACGGGTGTAATCAACAGCAGAATACACGCTCACATATATGCCTGTTTACCATGCCTCAAAAGGGCATATTAGTTGGAGCATCTATGATATATGTTTGTATATCTCTCACAGAGATCTTCTATTGCTGGTCTCAATGTAGCATGCAAAGGAAATACCCAAAGCCAATCAACTCTATTTTCGTAATGTGAACGAGCATAAACAGCAAAAAACATACAAATTAAACATATTCAAGGAAAGCAAGAACAAGAAAAAACAACGACAAGCGAACAAGCCAAAAGAACAGCGAGAAACGAGTAAAATATCTATGCGCTGAAGATGACACGACTGAAGCAATACCCTGGAAAACAGCTGCACAAGTAAGAAACAAAGTGAAAAGCCAAAGAGAAGTTGAATATCAAAGTAAGAAACAAAGACAGGCGAAAGCGTAGAGCTGAGAGAAGTGAGAAGCGCCTGGGAGCAAAACAAGAGAGTCGCGAGAGACGTTAGAAAGAGACAGAGTGAAAATGTCGATGTGAGGAGCAAAAGCAAAAATATCAAATAGCGAATACAAATCGAAAACGATCGCTCTCTCTCTCATTCTCTCTCTCTCTCCCTCCCTCTCTCTCTGTCTCTCTCTCTCTCTCTCTCTCTCTCTCTCTCGCTCTCTCT